ACTACCTTTGGGTAGCTTCTAATTTGGAGAAAAACAACTGTTCAATAAGACCAGTTTTCTGTTACTGGCAACTAAACACTCGCCTGGCATGTGCGGGACCCTGTGTTCAATCCTCAGCACCACATAAAAGTAAATGAATGGAATAAAGGTATTATGTCCAACCACAACTAAAAAAAAATATTAAAAAAAGCAATTCTAAATGATATGTTGTTCTTCTCCTTAATTTCTAGAACTCTTACTTTTTACTGCTTTAATAGTGTGGGCTAATCTGATTAAATTCATTTATGTTATCATGCATAGTAAATATCCTCAGTGGTGGGTTCAATCACAACTTTACCTTGAGAATGTGCTCTCAATTAGAAGAGGGTCCAGGGTTGGCAAATTATGGCCCACTGGCCAGGTGCTGTGGCATAGTTAGAGTAACTAAGAAAATTTTTACATTTTTTAAGGGTTTGTTTAAAAAAAGGAATATGTGGCCAGAAAGCTGAAAAGATTTATTATCTTGTCCTTTGTAGAAAAATCTTGCCAAACCCTGCAGTTGCACAGAGGACCTATCTCATGAAGTTGAGATTAGGATTTTACTAAGGAAAAAATCATTATGTCAGTATTTAATACCTTTGAAAAATTATTATAGATCACCACGTTAATTTTGGTACAGGTTAAGATGTATTCTATCTTTAAATTAGATTCCTTTTCAGTTTATTAAATTCCTATTATTACAAGACTATGAAAGACACTGGGGTTATGTAGTGAATAAAAAAGGGTCTCATTGTAGTTGCAAATTGCTTAGGGAGAAATGGTTTGAGCAATACTCCAAAGAAAAGATAAGGGTATGCATACAATTTTTTTTTTTTTCAGTACTGGGGATCAATCTCAGTGTCTTGCACATGCTAGGTAAGGACTCTGCCACAGAACTTCTTCCCCAGTCCTTAAAATTTTATATGTATTCACCTTTTTCTATAGATCTTCAGGCAGGATTGAACAGTAGATAGTTAGAAATGTGGGCCTAAACCTCAGGAGCAGAAGAGGAGAAATGAACAACCATCCAACAGCTACTCTATATGTTTCATTTTATTACATCAATCCTCAAAGTTAAAATGTTTTGCAGTTTCTACTTCAGGTAATACTCCAATGCCCATATTATTTTCATTAAATTAAATTGCTTCTTAAAGGGAAGTCAGAACTAAAGGAAAATAGGGAATGATTCACAAAAAGTCTGGGGAGGGCTGTCAGGGAGATACTATGGAATAAGAGGTAAAGGTCAAACACAAAGCCTGTGTTTAATTATGGGTAAAAGGAAGAAAGGTAGTAGAAATCTCTGAAAAAAGTGATCCAAATGTATAAAGATAACTAAATGAGACTTCATGGAGACTTGGAAATTCAAAAGTTTTAAAAGCTCAGTACCTTCAAGTACAACACATACAGAGAAGAAGTCATTTAATTTGGCCAATAGGAGAAAAGGGGATATCTTACAGTGTCCTTCAATTTGGTAGCAACTCATCACATGTAAATTAATTGAAGCTAAATAAAAATTTAGAGATTCAAAATTCAGTACCTTACCTATCTGGCCACATTTGAAATGCTCAAAATCCAGATGTGGCTAGTGTCTACCACATTGGACAACTCAGGTTATAAAAAATTTCCATCACTACAGAAATTTTGATTGGGATATGTTTGCAAAATATCAGAAGCAAGATTGAAATGGGGGAGATTGAACATGTTTACCTTCACACTAAAACTTGATTTGACCTCTCCAGCTTGCACTTGCCTTTTCCTCTTATGTTCTGGTCTCAATCTTCCTTTCCTGGACTATTGCAAGGCTGCTTGTCTGCCTCCCAACCTCTGTTCTTTTCTCCTTCTAACTTCCTTTTCTCAAAATAAATCATTTCTCCACTCAACAATACTTTCTTTTCAGTGCCACTTTCCCTGACTACCTAGCCTTAACTTCTATTCACAGTCTGCTGTAGTGGAGCGCTGCTAGCCTACCGGATCACGCTACAGGAAGGAGGCTGAGTGTCTCAAAACTTGAACTCACAGCTCATATACAATGCTGAGAGAATGATTATGGTGCATTGTATCACATTTAACATTAGAATAGAAACGATTGCTGATCATTGCACTTTCCTGTCTTTTCTCACCTGTTGTCAACCCTTTTTTTGGGGGGCGGGGGGGGGGGGTACCAGGGATTGATTCCAGGG